TTGTATTTATCCGCGACACCTTAAAGGCCGGTCCGTGAAAATATTGTCGGGCATAAACCGGTCCGTGGCGCAAAAAAGGTTGGGGACTGCTGTGCTACTTAACTGACGAGATCAATGTTACAAGTCAGTTAAACTTCAATATCACAGAAGTTTAACTGACTTGATGCTATACTATGATTAAAAAGTGTTCCTTTCATTTTTGTAAAACGTGCAGCGTGGGGCTGCACGGCGCATAAACACCTTGCATCCCCATGCACGGGGCGATCCGCGATAACTTGCTAACGTAGATTTGCCACGTTAATGCGGTTATGGCGTTAACGTCATTTTAACGAGATTAATGCTGACAGCACTAGTATATATGGATAAAGTAAACATCATTTGTGTATGTTTAATCTATGTTTAAATGTCCCTTAGCATAATGTCCCTTGATCAGACACCTTTGGTAAGCACACAAGCTTTTAGCATAATTTTTCTGCTGACTTCTGCTGAAGTTATTGGTTTTGGCAGGTTTGAGGTAATCACTTTGGAAAAATGTCGGTCTGTTTTATCCTTTCCACAACCAGCTTTGATCTGTGTTGTGTATCATTGCCCTATTGAAACGCTGAACACATTTGAACTGTTTTATTTAATTTTATCCACTTTGTACCAGTTCCGCTGGCACAAGATCACAAGACTGGCTGCTCCAGTCTGCATGCCAAATATCCTCCGGCAAGATTCCCCAAGTTGCTCTCTGAAGCATCCATCAGAGTATGAATGTGTGTGAATGTCAGATAGAAAGCACTTATGTAAAACCATACAGAAAAGTGCTTGTGTGAATGGGTGAATGAGGTATTGTGTAAAGCGTTTTGAGTGCTTCAAGAGAGTAGAAAAGCGCTATATTAGAATGAGTCCATTTGCCATTTAACACTGCTCTTCTCCAGAAATGTTACAGATGTGCATACTGTCTGTTCTATCGCAGCATGTGGCTCACGTAATATTAAAGAAAAAACATTTTAAGTAAGTCTTGAGCTCTGCTTAAGCATTTGCATTTACTTTGTTTCTCCATTCATTTATCCTTGTTTTTCCAACAGTGCTCTCACTGGTTTAACTTAACTTCAGCAGAGAAATGAGAAGTGCTTCACGTATTTAATCAACCACAAAACTTCTTTACTTATTAAGTGCAAGATTTGTTATCATATTGCAAATTTCAGAAAAAATGCATTGTAATTCATTTCCCAGATTAACTCTAATCATAAGGTATAAAGTTTACATGAATTCACAAAATGGTAAAATGTCAATTTTTTTGTATTGGAGTTTGTATTGTATTTTTTGTAGACATTTCTATATTAGATGGAGGAAAACAGGAATTTATTCTGTCATTTAACTGTTTATCTATTAGTTAATTACTTTGGTGTAGTATGAATGGACATGGGAGAGGTCTTTATTAATAGAAAAAGCTTGAAAATGTCTGAAAATCTAATTAAAGGTTTAAACTCTATGCCCTCCTTCACATTTTTGAAGCTGTCCAGTGGGGAGGGCCAATTCTGGGCCCCAGGCCTTACTTTTGTGACACCCCTGAACTCGAGAGAGTCACCTACTCAACTGAAAATTATTGAAAGTAACAACTTTAACTTTTCACTATTTTTTTTTTTTAATTTAATTTGGGTTTGATTATTATTTGGTTGTCTTTCCACCAAGATCTACACCACCCCAAAAATGATTTATCTGAACACTAATTGTCTATATACACATTCCAGGAACATTAAACCAGAACAACTGGGCCAAGAAGTTTCCATCCTGCAGCAACGCCAAGCAGTCTCCCATCAACATAGAACAGAACCTGGCCCAGGTGAAACTACAGTACCAGAAGTTGAGCTTTGATGGCTGGGAGAATCTGACAACTAACAGAACAACAATCAAGAACGATGGAAAGACTGGTAATAACAGTAATGCTTTGGATTGATATTTTTTTTGTTGTTGTTGTTGTTTTCTAGAACATTGAAAATTTTGATCTAGTTTTGTCAGTTCTACGTATTCACATATACTTATATCTCAACTACTGTATGGAATAAAATAGACATTTTACACACATTATGATCGCCAGTGGAGGAGTCCTTTTCAGCCTAGCAACTGATTATTTTTTTTTCTCCTCAGACAATAAAATTTAAATCTTGGAATATATTAACAGCATTTATTAGAGCACCAGCCAATGTAATTTTTAAGTCATAGCTCCTATAAATTAAGAGATTGGCACTATAACTACTATATCATTTTTTTGTTTCTGTAAGGGTCACCTGTATGTGCAAGCTCAAAATTATATATTTATTGCTACATTATAATTATTGTTATCCATTAAATTTCAAATTGTCTTTTACAATTTAAAAAATAAAACAGTAGAAAATAGTAAAGCACATTCTAATTTTTTAAAGTAATTATTTACTTCCATCACTGAACAGAAAAATGTCTTTTTGTGGTTGAAAGATTCATTCATTTCTGACTTCTTAAGTCCACAAGCTGAAATTTTTAGATATAAAAATGTGAATTCAGTTAACTTGCCTAATAATAACTTATTTAATAATTGTAAGCGAGTTTGGCAGATTTGTATATATATATATAATATATTATATATATATATATATACAATATATTTGTGTTTCCTTTTTAAAAAAAAAAATTAGGACAGGCTAATAAAAAAAGAAAAAAACTGTATACTTGTACAAGTCAACAAGAATAATCGGTGACTTAAAACAGGCTTAATATCATCAGTTCACAGTAAATAAATTATTATCACAACAAAATCATAATTACATGACCGTGGCAACACGATGAAAACATGACCACTTTTGTGATCCATCCAAAGTAAGTTTCGATTCTTGAGGGTATCTTTTTAGCAAGTTAAAGAAAAGGCGACTTTTATTCAGGTCTGTTTTATGGTAGAGTGCAGGTGCTGCTAGAGTATTAAATAGAGAAGATCATCTTTTGATATTCTGTATGTTTCTAATCCATTGTTTTCAGGACATTTTCACTGTGTTGTGGTTGAGTCTTCAATGCAGTAGGCGAAGAATAAAACTGAAAAATCTGGGATATCAAAAACTTGAAGCAGATCTACAGTCATTGCCACTGCAACATCTTGTTTCTTTTCTTTTTGCCATTCTGTTATAGGGCTGTTCAATATAACGATATATATCGGTTTCGTATTACACTATTGTTTGTTTCGTGGTGTCGAAAAAAAACAATTTAAACAAATAAGACAAAAGGGAATATTTTTTCAGCGTTTTGATGGTCACTGTAGTAGCTATATTAATTTCTTAGAGTTCTCTCTTTCTCTTATATTTAAAATAACCACACTACGCGACTGTTTTTACACGTTGTCGTTAGCAACAATGATGGTAAACCCATCGTGTGGCTCCACCTTTGCCTTGTTTATTTTCCACATAAACCTTTCACAATGAAGCTGAAGATCCTGTTGAGATTTTTCAAAATAAACTGAAATGATGACAAACAGAAGAACCAGTTAAAAGAAATCGAGGACCTTATTTCTAAACGAGGGGCTCTCTCTGTAGCATTGACATGGTTTGGTTATGAAAAGTGTGACACGGACCAGAAAACTGTACTATGCAAATTATGCATGAAACCGGTCCCCACCACAGACTCAAACACGGCAAACCTCTTCTACCACCTACGCAAGAATCATGTGAAAGAGTATGGAGAGAGTTTATGGATGAGAAGCAAAAAAAAGCCGTCAGGTGCTGAAAATAAACCTTAGACTCAAACCTTTGAACAGGCTTTTCCATGTGTAATAAATAATCACAAAGAAAATTCCGTCTGTTACAACTAGTGTCTAAAAATGTACAGTTTCACGCATCGGTCAAAACACTCAACTCCAAGTGTACGACGCCCACCTGAAAACACTTCACGCAAGTCGAGTTACCCAAGATTCACAGAATTTACAGAAAATGTAAAAATATTTTCACATATATCGTTGTCGGGATGATAAATGTCTTATATCGGGATATGAGATTTTGGTCATATCGCACATTCTGTTGTAGATTTACTAGTATGCTTTTGCCTGACCCAGTTTGGGTCACGCTAGCTGTTGTACAAATGGCATCTCTCTTTATACATTAGTCTCAATGTAGCTTTTTAATAGCATTATAAAATAAAGAAAATTCAGTCTCACACGTGCCATTTTTTCTCACATCTCTTTTCTGTTAGTGACCGTCAATGTGGATGGTGACTTCTATGTCAGTGGAGCAGGTCTCAGGTCAAAGGTCAAGGTGGGGTGCATCACTTTCCACTGGGGGTGCTGCAATGCTTCTTCAGAGGGCTCAGAACATAGTCTGAATGGTGTCAAATACCCTCTAGAGGTGAGTCAGCTTATGTGACTAGTGTTGAGCTTGGTAATGACCTAAATGTTAAATATTACTTACAGACTCAAATTCATCTGTTATGATCAGGAGAATTCAAACTATATCTATAAATTCAGCTCTGTCCAGAAATTAAGCATTCAGCTATGTTAAACTCTAAGATCAATCTAAATATCATTAATTGCAGCTGTCTTTATTATTGTGTTTTCATCACAGGTTTGTTCTGTCTTTATTTAATGATAGATTAATTAGTATTATTTACTATTTTTTGTTTTACCTCTGCAACCTTTGTTCCATTTTTATTTTCATTTTATTTGCTCTACTTAATTTAGTTTTATATTATTTCTTGTATTGTTTTGTTTACTACTTGAGATGATGCATCTCAAGGCATTTACTTAAATATGATAAAAAATAATGTTATAATATTATATAACATTATAACCAGAATTCTTATAAAGCAACAATAAAATATCATCCTAATTTAAAACAAAATCATTTAATATTTTTTAAAAAAGACCTTTACTAAAAGAAATTCAGTGTCTGAATTAAACAATCTAACTGGACTGATAGACTCAACTTGTTGGTGTTTATTTTTTTCTGTTTACTCCTGTAGATGCAAATATACTGTTATGACCCACTTCGATTTGATTCTTTGGATGAAAGCATCAAGGCTGGAGGCAGAATCACAGCACTCGCTGTTCTATTTGAGGTTTGTGGTGTGTGCATGTGTTCACTACAAGGCATATTGTTATGTGCTGAGAACAGGTTTAGAGGTTTGTATGACTTGTGTGCTTAAAGAGTAAAGCATTGAAATTCAAAAAGCTATTCCATGTATGCGTGACAATAGAAGAAGAGAGGTATTAAAATAGTTAAAATAAAATAAAAGTTAAGCTTGAATAAGTTACTGCAATCATTGAGGAGCTTAGCATGGAGCCGCTACTCCTCTGTTGAAAAGAGCTGATTGGGGGCTTTTTAATTCAAAACAGGTAAACAGACGTTCAAAGTGATACTGCCAGTGTATGTAGTATCGTGGCTTTGTCCTGTCTTCCTACCCTAACCCCATCCAGTCACAGCAGATGATCATCCTGAGCCTGGATCTGCTGTAGGTTTCTTACTGTTAAAAGTTGTGTTGAGAGGTTTTTCCTTCTCACTTCCACCAAAGCACTTGTTCATAGGGGGTCATATAACCGCTGGGGTTTTCTTTGCTTTGCACACAGAGGGTCGTTTGATTCTTTGTATTATTGTAGGGTCTTTACCTTACAATATAAAATGCTTTGAGGAAATTGTTGTTGTGATTTGCCACTATATAAATAACATTGAATTGAATAGTAATGTTCAATCATTAGACTCAAGGTTTATTTTTATTGTTGGTTTATGATCATTGCTGTGTTCTTGTCTGTGTGCTAAGTTCAGTGTCAGGGTTTATACTGAGCATAGTAAATACTTTTTCTTAACATGCAGTCTGCTTTGTGCAGTCATGTTGCCTCTGGCCATGTTGGCATGTTAGAACTGTGAAAGGTCAGGTTGGAACAAATCTAAGACGAATGCCTCATGTGAAACAGCAGGGAATATCTGTGTGTCTTTCCAGCTAAAGCTTGGGCATAAAAACTACCAGTTAACTACCAGTTTTATTTCTTGCCAGCAACTTTGGCAGTAACTGGGTCATAAATAATCTTCTTCTCATCGTTTTCTTTTTTTTTTTCTCAAAATTCAAAAAATGTGAACGCTTTGTTGGAAATAGTGAAAGCAGTGTAACCATGAAAGTTCTGGTTTTGAATATGTCCTATAGTCTTGTTTAATATTCCCTTTGTGTTCTTTTTGTTTTTCTTAACTTTATGGTAAAATAATAAATGGAGCACTTTGAAATATTTTCCTAACAGTGCAAGATCATACATATCTTTAGCAGAACCTATATCTGATTTCATGTTAAGTTTAAAACATAAAATCCATGACATGATGTTATGTTTATAATTTTGAGAGGAAAGGGTTGTATGTTGTTTGTTTTATTTATTCCTTCATATTTTATTACTTTGTTAACTTACAAAGTTTCAGTCCATAGGAACTTATAGTTTTACAGTATACTGGCTGTCCTGTTTATTTGCTGTTTTTTGTTTTTTTTCAATGGTATTAGTGTTGTTATATTTGTTAGTAAAGCTATTTTAAGATATTCATTTGGAACCTGTATGTATATGTGTGATTTATCTGAAGTAATTATGTTTTCCTTTTCACAGATAAGCACTGAAGACAACATGAACTACGCTGCTATAATAGAAGGCATCAACAGTGTGAGCAGATATGGTACAGCAGGTGTTTTTTTGTGTGTTTTCTCTTACCTTTTCTTGTGTTGTGTGTTTTTAAGCTGTCTTGTTTACTGTCCAGGAAAGAGTGCCAGGGTTTCACCCTTCACTCTGCAAGGTCTTCTGCCAAACTCCACTGAAAAATACTTTATCTATAATGGCTCTCTGACTACGCCACCTTGCGGCGAGATTGTTGAGTGGATTATCTTCAAGAACACAGTAGCCATCTCCGATGACCAGGTGACAAATCCAGTTCCAGTACATTTAAATTAAAATGTATACATGTTCACATCTGCTTCAAATCCTGCATTTTGTTTATTATTTTTATATTCTTGTTTTAAATGGTAACCTTCTTTATATTGATTTCTAAATGATTGCACCACTTTAGGCAATAAAATATGATGCTAGCTTTTACTGTAAACATACAGTAGAATTTAAACATAACTTTCTCAGTATAATAGAGGGGTCTTTTTGCCTTAAGTGGCTCGACAAAACCTAAAGGCCCAGTTGGAGATAATGGGTATCATGACGGAAGTTATCTGAAGTTTCTATTAGGCCAGGCTTTCACCTTCAGGGTCTGTGCATGCTCACTCTAAAAATACAGTGGCTTGCAAAAGTATTCGGCACCCTTGAACTTTCACACATTTTGTCACATTACAGCCACAAACATGAATCAATTTTGTTGGAATTCCATGTGAAAGACCAATACAAAGTGGTGTACATGTGAGAAGTGGAACGAAAATCATACATGATTCCACACATTTTTTACAAATAAATAACTGAAAAGTGGGGTGTGCGTAATTATTCAGCCCCCTGAGTCAATACTTTGTAGAACCACCTTTTGCTGCAATTACAGCTGCCAGTCTTTTAGGGTATGTCTCTACCAGCTTTGCACATCTAGAGACTGAAATCCTTGCCCATTCTTCTTTGGAAAACAGCTCCAGCTCAGTTAGATTACATGGACAGCGTTTTCAGATCTGGCCACAGATTCTCGACTGGATTTAGATCTGGACTTTGACTGGGCCATTCTAACACATGGATGTGTTTTGTTTTAAACGATTCCATTGTTGCCCTGGCTTTATGTTTAGGGTCGTTGTCCTGCTGGAAGGTGAACCTCCGCCCCAGTCTCAAGTCTTTTGCAGACTCCAAGAGGTTTTCTTCCAAGATTCCCCTCTATATGGCTCCATCCATCTTCCCATCAACTCTGACCAGCTTCCCTGTCCCTGCTGAAGAGAAGCACCCCCAGAGCATGATGCTGCCACCACCATATTTGACAGTGGAGATGCATAGCGTTTTGCATTTTGGCCAAAAAGTTCCATTGTGGTCTCATCTGACCAGAGCACCTTCTTCCACATGTTTGCTGTGTCCCCCACATGGCTTGTGGCAAACTGCAAACTGGACTTTTTATGGTTTTCTGTTAACAATGGCTTTCTTCTTGCCATAAAGGCCAACTTTGTGCAGTGCACGACTAATAGTTGTCCTATAGAGATTCCCTCACCTGAGCTGTAGATCTCTGCAGCTCGTCCAGAGTCACCATGGGCCTCTTGGCTGCATTTCTGATCAGCGCTCTCCTTGTTCGGCCTGTGAGTTTAGGTGGACGGCCTTGTCTTGGTAGGTTTACAGTTGTGCCATACTCCTTCCATTTCTGAATGATCGCTTGAACAGTGCTCCGTGGGATGTTCAAGGCTTGGGAAATCTTTTTGTAGCCTAAGCCTGCTTTAAATTTCTCAATAACCTTATCCCTGACCTGTCTGGTGTGTTCTTTGGACTTCATGGTGTTGTTGCTCCCAATATTCTCTTAGACAACCTCTGAGGCCGTCACAGAGCAGCTGTATTTGTACTGACATTAGATCACACACAGTTGCACTCTATTTAGTCATTAGCACTCATCAGGCTGACTACTGACTGCACTAAAGGGGCTGAATAATTACGCACACCCCACTTTTCAGTTATTTATTTGTAAAAAAATGTTTGGAATCATGTATGATTTTCGTTCCACTTCTCACGTGTACACAACTTTGTATTGGTCTTTCATGTGGAATTCCAATAAAATTGATTCATGTTTGTGGCTGTAATGTGACAAAATGTGGAAAAGTTCAAGGGGGCTGAATACTTTTGCAAGCCACTGTAGGTGTTTTGTGGTTCATGTAACTCTGTTTCCACACAGAATGAGCTTGGAGTCCTGTTGGCTATTTACATTTAAACATTAAAGATTACCATCCATTAACCTAATAAATAAAATTAAAAGACTGGGAAACAGTTTATTGGCAGATCATAGTGGAAATAAGTTTATTGCTTGAATAGACAGTATTGTTTTGTGTTTTGTGTTCTAAAAGCTGTAATTCCAACAGTGTAAAACACCCACACTTTGCATCACACTGGACAAATCACCACATTAAACAATAAACTGAAGTTGGTGTCATAAACACTACCAACTACATGGGGAAGGGGGCAGATGGGATGGACACTCACTGAAAACTGTGACTCGATAGAAGAATCGATAGTAATAATTGTTTTGGGTTTTTAAGCAACCCCTTAAAGAGATATTTAGGTTTCACAACAGAGAGGGACAAGAGAGAGAGAAAGGGCAAGACAGACAGAGCATGACTGAAACCCATATAGAAGCAGTCTTTGCTTCAAACAATTATTGGCTTACAGAAGGTTTCTGAGCGATTCAGACTTGATGAAGCACATTAGACCCACATAATTGCATGTACCTGCACAAACATGTAGATGCACACAAAAGGTTTTCAACAAAAACATTCCACCATGATCCCTGCTGAGGACCAGATGTCGTTTTCAACTTGACTCATTCACTTCAAACACAGCTACCATTAGATAGGTTTCACTCTGGTGAACTGGTGACTCAGCAATGCAAAAAGACCTGAATGTCCATGGAAGACAACAGTGCTGGGTGATCACAGAATCATTTCCATGGTGAAGAGAAAGCCCTTCACAACAGCCAACCAAGTGAACAACACTCTCCAGGAGTCATATCAATATCCAAGTCTACCATAAAGAGAAGAGTGCTTGAACGTAAAATACAGAGGGTTCACTGGAAGGTGCAAGCCACTCATAAACTTTAAGGCTAGATTAGATTGTACTAAAACACATCTAAAAAGCACAGAATGATGGCAAGAAAAGAGTATGGAGAGGGCATGGAACAGCTCACAATCCAAAGCATATCCAGGCAATATGATGGCTTGGCCGTGCATGGCTGCCGAAGGCACTGTGACACTAGTGTCTGACATAGGACAGAAGCAGCCGAATGAATTCGGAGTTTTTCAGAGACATGCTGTCTGCTCACATCCAGGTAAATGCAGTCAAATTGATTGGGTTTCATAATACAGATGGACAATGACCCAAAACATACAGCCTAAGCAACACAGGAGTTTTTTAAAGCAAAGAATTGGAATATTGTTGAATGGCCAAGTCAGTCACCTGATCTCAACCCTTTTGAGCATTTCAATTGCTGAAGGCATCTCTGTGCAGAAGCCCCATGCTGACAGCTAATAATATTTAAAAAAAAAGAAAGAAAAAAAAGAGATTATTTGGAACTGTGAGTGATGCAAAGCTGATGTAGTAAAGTGCAAAAAAAAATGTTGGAAATTAGATTAGTGGGTCACCTTTGAGTCTTTAGTGGGGCATGTAGTCAGATATAGTTTTGAAGTTTGAATACCTTAGAATAATCTTTTATTGTTGCCCATTCTTTTTCAAAGACGTTCACAATCATAAAAATTTCGAGGAGTTTAATAAGAAATCTTTTTAGGCTACCTTTTCCTTTGTTTATTTTATTCCCAAAGTCTTTTCTGTAAAAGAACTCACAAGAAATCACAACCCCACAGTTAGTACAACCTCACAGTACAATCACTCCTAATTATTAGGTAACCAGTGTGATTTCTCATGGCAGAGTGCTGAACTCATGTTTATAACTGTATTGATTCCTCTGTTGCAGCTGGTAATGTTCTGTGAGGTGATGACAATGCAGCAGGCTGGATATGTGATGCTGATGGACTACCTGCAGAACAACTACAGGGAGCAGCAGGAGCAATTTATGGGTCTGGTGTTCTCCTCTTATACGGGCACTGAGGAGATCTTCACACGGGGTTTGTATCCAGAGTTTTGTTTCTTAGGACAGTCATTTATACCAAGGGCTCTAGTCATCTGAATGAAATCGTATTTGACTGAAAACTAGTGATGTGCGGATCGAT